ATTCGAATCACCACTGTAGAGGCAGTTAAATATATAAGACCATTACAACACAAGGCATTGAGCATTGAGCACTGTAAGGAGCATTTTGCACGGGCTTAATCTAATTTGCATATACCGAAATATTCGGGTTCGTCCAGTCCGGATTAAGCAAGCACTTTCTTGCCGCCGACACTTCCGGAAACCCAATGAAAACACGACGCTCAACCACACACGTCAATAACCGAATGGCAGCATGGCCACCAGATGCAGTTTGGGATACTTTCGGCTTAAGGCTTGGATTGGATTGGGGTCTCCGGCTTTCCCATTTTTTACAAAATCTCACTGATCTCTATTATAAGAGGCTAGATGGCACATAGCCGCTCTCCGAGCAGGGCGCGCAAGTGAAGCCACCAGAAATTTGATGCTTGCCCAGAAGTCGGGCGTCTAGCTGCTGGACTTCCTAGTGCATTTGAACCGATGAGTCGATGTTTTGGTCCATACTTTCCGGTGTCTTTGAGTGGGTTTTAATAATCGTGCTCCAAACTAAATCCCGAAAATGAGGCATTTGAACTTGAGACATATGCCCACTTGATCAACTAGAATCTTACAATGTTTACATTGAATGGCTTCCCATGATACTTCTCGGGTCCACATGCGCCCTTACTGTGCCACAAACACAGGCTCTCTTGAGATGAGAAGCGAAAATCCAGTGCCCTCGACGCTTTTTGAACCAGCACTCGGAAGGGTTACAAAGCCTGCCAAGCGCTCACTTCCGGGACAAGTATAGACCATTCCATTTAGCGCTTTCTGGGCGGCATCATTTTCTTCGACAGCAGCGCCCTCTCCATACCTCCGGGAAATTCAGCGGGTTCGGCGGGGTAAACTAGAGCCCTAGGTAAGACCAACGAGCTCGTTGGGTAAAACTAGAGCACTATATAGCTCCTTCGGAGCAGAGTAGCGCAGAGCCGTATATTGGGAGAGTTTGGCCATTCATTGGTATCAATGGGGCGAAATTCTATTGGTCGAATAGTTGATTGACAGGCCGCTCGTGGCCAATGGATGGATGGATGGATGAATACGGCTGAGCCCTTTGGATCGGGCGGTAGCTTACGCCACCTAGCCAATCACAAGCCGCAAAACCTCCCCTAGCGGTGGTCGTGAGCCTCAAAAGTAAAGCAGGGTTCGGTAATTTCATTTTAGCGTCGCTAGAGTTAAAAAGGTTAACGCTCGGTGACTGAAAACTTGGTGCATGTGAGCCTTTCGTCATAGCCTTCTTTAATGGTAGAATAAACGAATGCGCACGCGGACACGTGCGTTGAAAATTGAAATAACGTAAACAAAAGTTTGTGTAGCCGCGGGAGGGGGGAGTTCCGCCGTTCCGGTCTTGTTTGAAAAATGGGTCGTTGTTGTGCTCTGAAGTGCCGGAACAGAGCTTCCAGGGGAATTCGCTTGTTCAAGCTGCCGAAATCCCCGAGGAGACGGAAACTGTGGCTTTCAGGAATCAGGCGTGGCGCGGGGTGGAAACCTCCCGACAGAACGTACCTTTGCGAGGTGAGGTATTGTTCATTGTTAATATTGTGACGCGAGCACGGTGGACGCGAGTGCACTGGGACGAAACCGTGTATTTTGTGATCTATTCTCTACTGCCGTGGAAGCGTCCTGTGCGCTTTCGCTTCACCACAGAAAGACGAGTGGTTCAGGCCTGTGGCGGTCGTGCGATGATGGATTTGTAAGATCGCATATTTTGAAGAGACCCCGGAGTGCGCTTCGGACGGAAATGGCTATACGCACTCCGCTTTTCTCGTATGAAAAGAGTGGACACAACGTGTTTCCTAAGCAAGGGAGGAAGTGGCCGAGTGGGCTAACGCGTCTCAGCTCGGAGCGTGGAGCGAAAGCTTCCGCTGGGAACCTCCTGGGTTCGATCCCCGCCGCCCCCGCCCGTTTCGATCTGGATGAGTTTCGTACCGGCACGCGTTCGTGTGATCACTACTGCGTGATGCACGTTAAAAATCCCAGGTTAGCGGTTGTACCGCACTGGCTAAATTTCTCATCTACAGCTAAGAGACCGATTACCCGTTGAGGCGCATCTCCATCAAGGCTGTATAAACATAAAGAGCAAGCCAATTTTATTTTTTTTGTGTTTCCTAAGCGGTGCCATGGCTTAGGGGTTAGGGTGTCCGCTTCATACGCAAGTGGACGCGGGTTCGATTGGTTCGATCCGCGGTGGGCCTACTTTTTTTTTTTTTTTTTTCTCAAACATTTTGTTTTGTCGAGGCATTTGGCGATATTTACGACATTTCCTTTTTTGCGATGAACAGTAAAAAAAATTAAAAAAAAATCGAATGTTGTCGAGAAACTTCACAGAACTAAATGGTATCGGACTCCCTTTCCGGAGGTGCGATCGGGGACAGCGGGGCTTGGATTGCCGGCTGGACGCCGCGAAGCGGCGTGTACTGGTTACGCTTTGTAATTAGCAGCCGATACTGTCGCCGCGAAGCGGCGTGAACGCAGGCGGGGGGCTGTGTTAACGAGCGCCCCAGTGATTCACGCGCCGTTCGAAAAGGGTGGCCCGAGCGGCATGATCTCTCGGAGGAGTGCGTATAGCCATTTCCGCGCGAAGCGCACTCCGGAGTGCGTATAGCTTTACTCTATACACCAACTCATCTCTGCGACGTCACGGCGCGGTGGTGGCGCGTCGGTCGCACTTCCGGTCTGGGGCTGTGGGCAGAAGTCCCCATGCCAGACGTGCATTCCTGCGTTGTTTTGAAAGGAACCAGACTATAACCTAACTTCTCGTCAAAACGCCGCGACTGGGGCCGTACCAAAAGTGTCGAGAAAGGTTTAAAGGTCAGTTTTCACGTGCTCGGTTCGTCCAAGAATCTTGATATGTGCCGTGAAAAGGGAAAAGCAGACGCCGTCGGGCAACGATTGCTTGGGCGGGAAGCACTTTGGGTTGAATTCACGGATACTTGTGGCCATCAGATTTATTTGTTTTCTTCCAACATGAACGCGAGAAAACTGTCAAGCTGTGCGGACCACCTGTGGACTACGTTCAGTGCGTCTTCAAGTTCAAACGGCCGCCTGATTGTTCGAATTGTCGTCTGCTCTTTCAAACGTTTCTGCTTGTCGTCTGCTCTCTTAGACGACGCCGGTCCGTATAGACCAAATGTTGGCGCGGTACTTGCGATAAGAAGTGAGTGCAGGCCTCAAAAGACTTAAATTTGAAGGTTGGTAAGTAGGCTGGATGTAAACAGTAAATACGAAGATGTTGGTCATTGTTACCAGTGACCAACACCGACTTGTTATGCCTAATTCAGTTGGTTCGATTCTGCTTGCGATTTTCAGTATCGTCGTCGACCATCTCAGCTACGGTTCACGCTTTTGCCGCCCGAGCTGCGTCGCGACTGAAAATTCTGAGCGAAATCTCATCATGCGAATCAGGCTTTAGCGTACAATCTGCGGCGTCCACGCGGAATGAATCGCCGCATGTCACATTATTCACGCGAAGTTTTGCGGTGTAATAAGCCTCGGTAATTTCGCTTACGCCGCTCAAGATAGTCAGACATCGCCAGGAAGACGTAGAACCAACAATTCGAACGCGAAAAAGGGCAGGGGGACTCACACCGACGCCGACAACATCGCATTTCAATGGTTTGTTTATGGGCGATGGCGAGCTTTTTGCCCACACCCCCATCGCGCACGCGCGGCGCCGGTGGCGTCCGCTAGGGGCGCTCCGGGCGCTTCGGTTTGTTTGTAAACATGAGTTGGTGTATAGGCTCCTTGCACATGACGTCATTTCCGATACCCTCCAGAGAAGAGGGGAAGAAGGAGCTCCCCTCTTATCAGGACCCTCCTTTGTGCCTCCCGGATTAGCACAGGCGTCGCTATTCTCCTCCCAGAAGATTATAGAAGATTAACCTCTCACTCAAAATTCTTACAAAAGCAGCTTCCCTCTCCTCCTTTTACTTGGTGTGCAAAAGTATGCGATGTGACGTCAGTGCAAGGAGCCTATTGTGAAAGCGTGAGCCTCTCGTCAGCGGAATAACTGTACTGTGACGCGAGCGGCTGAATACACAGTTTTGACGTCTACCAAAACGTTATTCGCTGCAGGACCACTTCGAGCCCTCCCAGTTCCAGGCGAGGTGCTCTGACGGCTGGAGGAGGCTAAAAGCCACAGCTGTTCCGAGCTTGTTTCTGCATTCTGAAAGTCAAGTGAGTGTGTGTAACGAGGATAAGTGAGATTTTTGTTCTTTTGGTATTTACCTAGATTATGAGAGTGAATTAAAAGCAATAATTTATCTTGTGTTAAGATGTTTTTACTGATATGATTTGAAAGAGGCACAGGTCACCTATAATAATGTGGACTTGGTAGGCTGTTGACATCTCTGTTCCATGTCAGAGACTTTTTTTTTTTTTTTTTTTTTTTTAAATCGGAGTGGTCCTTGTGCAAGAGTGCATGAGACACCATCATTCAGTGTTGCAGCCTGACACAGCACAAAACCCCGCCTCATGGAAATGCAAGTCAAAACCCAATAACTCATATTCTGTTGCTTCTATTAAGTTAATGCATGAGGCATTCATCACTCTCAGCTGCCTTGTAATGTTATGACAGCCTCACCAGCTAAGTATCTGTCATGGTTCTTGCATGGCTTGGAGTGATCTCGTGAGGTGGGCAACACCCAGTGGACCATTTGCAGAATTAGTGGTTCGAGAGTGCATGGCTAAAAGACGAGAGTTCCCTGGCCGCAGGCACGTCCACTGCGTCCCGTTGGCTTATTGTGTCGCATTGACTTAGATAGAGCTCCCCCAAAACCACTTTTGTCCCCCTTGAGGATTATCTTTCACCCCGAGGTAAATACAAAGAAGCCCTCGTCCCTCTCCGCTCGGCCAGCATGAAGAGAGAAAGGGCGACAAATCCATTTATTTTCGAACCCATATTTCTGCAAAACGAGGATTCTCGTACCGTGTTTGCAGCAACCAGCGGCCAGGACCTCCGGAGCGACCCTGCAGGTCGGCCTGCTAACGCAGCCGCTCCCCACCACCAGCGGGGCGTGCTTCGTAAGCATCTTCCAGGGTCCTGCGTACCCCCGTGTAGCAATACCACCACGCTCTTCGCCGCAGGTGACCAGTGACAACCAGCGCGGCCAGGCCAGCTCAGCTGCCCGCGGCACCTTGGTGTCGGCAGACTCCACCAGCTGGGTATGTGGTTCTTGCACGGCTTGGAGTGATCTTGTGAGGTGGGAATCACCCGATTCTCATACCGTGTTTGCAGCAACCAGCAGCCAGGACCTCTGGAGCGGCCCTGCAGGGCGGCCTGCTAACGCAGCCGCTCCCCACCACCAGCGGGGCGTGCTTCGTAAGCATCTTCCAGGGTCCTGCGTACCCCCGTGTAGCAATACCACCGCACCCTTCGCTGCAGGTGACCAGTGACAACCAGCGCGGCCAGGCCAGCGTAGCTGCCCTCGGCACCTTGGTGCCGGCAGACACCATCAGCTGGGTATGTGGTTCTTGCACGGCTTGGAGTGATCTTGTGAGGTGGGAATCACCCGATTCTCGTACCGTGTTTGCAGCAACCAGCAGCCAGGACCTCTGGAGCGGCCCTGCAGGGCGGCCTGCTAACGCAGCCACTCCCCACCACCAGCGGGGCGTGCTTCGTAAGCATCTTCCAGGGTCCTGCATACCCCCGTGTAGCAATACCACCGCACCCTTCGCTGCAGGTGACCAGTGACTACCAGCGCGGCCAGGCCAGCGCAGCTGCCCTCGGCACTTTGGTGTCGGCGGCCTCCACCAGCTGGGTATGTGTCATGGTTCTTGCACTGCTTGGAGTGATCTCATGAGGTGGGCGACACCCAATTCTTGTACCGTGTTTGTGGCAACCAGCGGCCAAGACCTCTGAGCGAACCCTACAGCCTCTTTCTCCATCACCCGTTTCACCTAGGCTCACTGAAGATGTCTTTCTTCAGATGAGCCGGAAGATCAAGCAGCTGGAGAACGAGAATCATCGCTTGGTGAGGCAGGCTGCCTTACAAAAGACAAGGGAAGCGACATTCCGGTCTCACTTACACGAGTTCTTCACTGTGGACCAACTGGCAGCTCTATCGAGATCCAACAACAGGGGGTCCAAGTGGTCTAATGAGACGGTGAAGAAGTCGCTGCAGATGCGATCTGCATGTGGCAGCTTGGGCTACGACTTGCTACTGGAGGGGAGCTTCCCATTGCCGTCGTCTAGAACTCTAGGGCGGCGGCTTGAAGGCAAGTTTGTTGTCAGGCTACTCAAATGCTTCAAAGCTCCCTGTTGATTATTTGCAGGTATAATATCCTTGTTAGTAACTGTAGTGTTTTTGTATTTTACACAATTTATTTTTAAATGATAAGTTGGTGTCATGGTTCCTTTTTCACTTAGTTGCAGTGTGGTATGAAGGGGTAGATTATTGATATTGTGTTGGAATGATTCTCTCATCGCAGGCATACAGCACTAGTTTGACCTCAGTATCTTGCACTCGTCGAGATGTGAATTCAAGTTTAGAGGGGGAGTGTTGCCTTCACTCCCAATTTTTGTAACCTTGCTGATGCGACCATGGAGGTAATTATGCTGACGGTGTCTAGGAGAGCACCCTGTGGTGATGATGGTCGAATGAGGCTTATGGATTCCATACGAGCACTGCATGAACACTTGACTTGGTTTCGTGACAATAAGTGCCTCGGCAAACATTTGGGCAGCTCATGACTAATCTCTGCACACGAATGGCCAAAATTAAACATTGTTTACAGCTCAGCACATGCTGCACATGTTGCCATCCCCAGCCTATGGCTATACACAGTTCTCACGTGACGTCGTTCTAGTCACCATTCCCAGGTACTAAGCGTTTCATTAATGTAGTGGAAGGTAGTTCTAATCTGCACCCCGTGATTGGCGCGGCCCTACTAGAATAAAACGTCATCATCTCACCTACCAATCGTGTGTGTCCTGTGTCCTGTGATGTCGAGATCGCTCTAGCGCTCTTATCAGTTGCCCTTGGGACTCGCGATGAGTTGGCCGCGTGCCGTTCGTTCGGTGATGTGCACACTTTCTAAGTGCTGACAAAGTCGCGATTGCAGCGAGTTAGCGCAGTTGAGTGCGCTTCTTAAGGAGCACCGGTGTGCTGTGCAGAAGCGACACTTACAGAGAAAGCACTGTCATCGTGCGTATTTCGCAGGCACTGCGATTGTGCATTGAGTGGAAGGCACACCTCCAGAGAAGAAGAGGTCACGCGCGTGTGCGACGAATTCAGGAAAACATTGTAATGTAGCGTAATGATTGTTCATGTTCCTGGTCAATATGAGTGCTTACCTCAAGGCCAAAAAAAAAAAAAAACTGGCTTTTACCATGAATATGTGTTACTCTACAATTGAGGTCCCGTCAAGCAGTGTGCATCATTGCTCATCATTTCTTTAGTCTAAGATTTAAAACGAATATTTGGGTATAGCAAGAGGACTGACAAATCTCTCATCTACTTACAATCTCTATGTAGGGCTTGATTTATTTGAAGCGAGAGTCATTCAGTAATTTAGATCAGAATTAACTGAGCCTTGGCAGTGGGTAGGCAGATACTTGAGAATAACCTAAATGAAACCAGCTAGATTTTCCTTTACAAAGTATAATCATTGCTCACATGCTGAGTTTGTGCACTAGAAAGCTATCTCTACAGGAAAAAGGCTGTTGACAAGGAGAACTAAATGACAAGCTTCATTTGTTGCTTCGATTAGCAACTGCAGAATTTACGCACATCCTTGAGAACGTGAACAAAACATACTCAAAATTACTCTTGTCTAACCTCATTTCAGTGGATTACTGTGTGCCCCTTGATATTAGGTGTTTTAGGTATGATAGTCTTTATATCATATCTAAAATGACTTTTTATTCATACTCGTTCACACTCATCCATCACTCAAATACTATAATGTTTTGAAAAATGTGTACTAAGGTAAAAGTGCTAAGCTAAGTTAGCATGTAGCTTAGCTTGTTTGTAGCTAGCTAAGCTAGTTACACACGACTGGAAGCTAACTTAGGTTAGCTTCCATTAAGCTAAACTACCTTCCGCCATCTTGACATCAACACTGTCAAGATGGCGGAAGCTGAGCGCAATGGCAGTATCAGAAAGGCACAGCAAGTATTCAATATGCGATTCGAAATTATTCGACCCAAGTCACTATTAGCTTCTTATTCGCTTGAAACATAAAATTCGTTATTCGCACGTGCCTGCTTAAAGGAGCGATGCAACGATTTTTGTATTTTGCGCAAATACCGCTGAAAACGGATCCCTGACGTTAATGACCTGTGAAATACTCGTTCGTTTTTCACCACACGCAATCGAAGTCGCAGAAAAAATTTAAGAAAAACGAGCACCTTTCACCCCCTCAACTCGCAGCCAGAACAAGCGGCCACGCGATCTGGAGCCGATTATATGCCGCCAATGTTAATCATAGCCACGCGCTAGGGTCGGCAAAGCACTCGACACGCGCTGGCTTCCAGACATTGTTACGGTGCGGCTGTTGTTGTCATTGCAGCGATTGGACACAGGCCACTACCCGAATGCTTCTTGAGCTAGTAATTATCACGAGCCCATATCGGGTGTCCACGCCATGCTCGGGTCCAATCTATGAGCCGCATTCAAATATCGTCACTGGGCGGTACTCCTACCGCCCAGCTACGTCATCAGATTTTGCGAAGGAGAGATTGAATAAAAACACTGGGTTTTGTCCTCGAAATTACGGCGCAACAAAGGAGTTTCTTGGTCAGTGGCGTTGCGTGCAAGTATCCTTGATTACCACAAGTGCCAGTAAGCTCGTGTAAAGGGAAAAACATTCCAAATGAATATCGTTGCACCGCCCCTTTAAGGGGAAACTAAAGCGGTTTTGTACCTTTAAAAAACACTTGCATCATCTTCATATGGCCTCCAGTATCACGAATATCAAAATTATTTGTCAATTTGAGGCCCGGAGTAGCCATCAAAGCATTTTGACCATAGCGCTGAAGCCCCGCCCTCCCGAGGTGTAAGAAGCTAGGAGGAAATTTCTGAGAGACAGCAGTGTCGCAACAAGGATCCTCGGAATCTCTGCAGCTATTGCAAGCTTATTTGAGTGGTCAACAAATTGTGTGCGATTCACCTCATGCTCACGATTTTCACTCGCCTGTTTGTTTCGACGTAAGTTTAGTACACCTATAAACTTTCATAAAAGATTTAGCGGATGTTGGTCAGGCGTGAAAGATTGTAGCGGGAACTAGGCGTCTGTAGCAGATGACGCACCATTTCACGAGAAGAAAAAAACGCTGCATTGGGCAAGGCTGGTCACATGTGCCGGAACACTGCACGAGAGATGGTGCTTGAGCTTCGGTGGCCAGGTGAAAGTTCTTGACGTGACATCATGCCGAGTGAATTTTTTAAATATTTCTTTGCGTTGGGTGATACTTCTTGAGCAAATAGTGCATATTCAAATTTGCAGGATACAAATACGGAAGAATTTACCTCTAACTCATTTTTTTTTGGAGAACCTCTTTATAGCTTCCCTTAAAGTGTTTTCAACAAAATCAGTCAGTGGTTCACAAATCGGAGTCGGTGACACTTTTAGCAACGCACAGCTACGAAAGTAACCATGGAGTGTACTTTACTTCAGTGCTGGCATTCATCACCTTTGCTCATCAAGTGGAACTGCCAACTTTAAGAGAGTGGCAAAAACTCGTAAAAAACCAGCAAAAACCATTCGTATGGACAACAATAATGGAAGTTAGCAGCCTTTTCTTCGTTTAGTGCCCATGCTGTTCTTTTATTGACTGAGGGGGAAGTTTCAAATCATTGATTCCTTCAGTCGAGTTTACCAAACATTGCATACACTTGATGATCTAAAGCAGTTCTGTGTTTGTAGGTGAGCACTGCCCTACGGGTCCTCAGTCACTCCACGGCCACTGCCCTGCGCTTCCTGGTGGAGAATCATGGCTGGAGCACCAACTTCCTCACCACGGCTTGGTTCTTGGAACAGGTCAACAAATGGTTTGATCTTATGAGCAGCAGGCACCCAGTCCTTGCGATCAGCAGGCAAAATAAGGCCTGCTACAAGAACACCCTTGACTTTCTGGTCAAATTTAAGGATCTTTTTCTCCACCTCACTATTGGGGATGGGGCGTTCAAGCCAGTGCAGGCGGGGGTAATCCTCTCTACCAAGTCCATTCTAGACCTGCAGCAAAGTCTCATTGAGGGACATTCTTTTTCATTTGTGCTCACATCCAGATTCACACAGGACTGCCATGAAAACTTGTTTTCGGTAATGCGACAGGGCAACCCTATCCCAACTTCTTGGAGTTTAAGATGACCTTGAAAATCATCACACACTCGCAGTACCTGAAGGCGTCCAAGGCAGGGTCCTACGAACTGGACGATGCCTCCTTTTACCTGGCTGACCTCGCAGACTTGGATGTACAACCTGCTGTGCCCACCGACATTTTTCTTGAGGAGGTAGAACTCGCCATGTCACAACCTGAGGAGAATAGCTTTGACTATTACGCGGGTATGTGGTACGAAGAGTTGTAAAACATAATGCTACATGTGACACGTGTGCTGCAGCTGTTCAAGTCCCCATGGCACCTGCAAATAGCCTCCTCAGGCTAAAGAGTTATGTCCCTGACGCTCTGACCTGCCCCTCTGAAGCTGCACGCGCCCTCTTCACAATTTGTGAAAGTGTCTTTCGCAGCCTCATTGCGGATTTGATGCATGCACGGGGCATCCTGGACGGCCTATCGGCGAGGATGGCTGCAGAGAGCCAATGTGTTCAGCTGCCCGACTGCCATGAAATCAAAATGAAGCTCATCAGGCGATTCTGCCATGCACGGCTGCAACTGTTCCTGCGGGAAAAAAGTCGCGAGTTGGCGGCTGGGGCAGCTGAACGCAGGGACTTCGGCAGTCGATGGCAGGACCTCGGAAAACCAATTAGTGTTTTAGATTGCCTTAGTTGATGAAACTGTTGTCCCGTTCTCATTTTGTTTTTACTTTGCTTTCTTCTTTGTGTTAAGGGCAGCTTTCATTTTTTGCGTTCCTTGTTTACCGAGGCACTTCTGAATTTTTTTTACTCTTGCAACGGTTGTTTGTGCGAGGCCCTTTTTCTTGTGATCTCCATATAAGCCTACGTGAAGCCTCTGCATTTTTTTTTTATGCTTGCTACACATGTTTGTGGGAAGTTTCTTGTGCTGTGCTTGTAAGCATCTGTACTTTTTTTATGCTTGCTACGGGTCTGTGAGAAGCACATTTTTTTTGTGCTCTGCCTGAGGCCTCTGAATTTTTTTTACACTTGCTATGGGTCTTTGCGGAACGCTTTTTTTCTTAGGCTCTGCCTGTAAACCTGTGTGACGCCTCTGAATTTTTTTTACGCTTACTAGAGATGTTTGTGGGAAGCTCTTTTTCTTATGCTCTATGTGCAAGCCTGCATGAAGCCTCTGGATTTTTTTCATGCTTGCTTCAGATGTTTGTGGGAACCCTTTCTTTTTCTTGTGCTCTGCGTGTAAGTTTGCGTGAAGCATCTAAATTTTTTTCACACTTTCTTCAGCTCTTTGTGGGAAGCTTGCTTTTTCTTATGCTCTGCATGTAAGCCTGAGTGAGGTCCCAGAATATTCTTTTACTTTTACGTTTGCTTCGGATGTTTGTGGGAAGCTTTTTTTTTTATTGTGCTCTGTGCGTATGGCTGCACGAAGCCTCTGAATTTTTTTACGCTTGCTACGGTTCTTTGTGGGGAGCAATTTTTCTTCTGATCTACGTGTAGGCCTATGTGAAGCTTTCGCTGTCATGCAATCTTGCTCTTCTGTATCATGTTTTTTTTTTTCTTGTCCTCCTCCTTGTGCTGTGCACTGCTTATGTTTCACTCATCCCTTTTTGCTTCATGTGGATGTTTGTAGCCTACACTTTCCTTCCTGGTGTCTTACATGAAAGCCTATGCAGAGACCTCCTGCCCATGTTAGCTTGTCTTTTCCCCTGTCATTCTTCTGTTCACTTTCCTCGTGTCATTCGCACACCTCGAAATATGCACTCTCTCTGTATCCTCAAGTTTTTCACTTCTGCACTTGCTTAAGACATTTGCAAGCCATCCCTTTACTTCATGAGCTTTCCATGTGAGCCTTCACCGTGCAGCACCTTTACGCTTCTGGGAGCCTATGCTTTGCCTCCGACCCTTTTGGTTTATCCACTTGCCTATTTTAATTTTGCAGTTTCTGTGTTTTTTCTTGCAGAGGCACGAGACCCATGTCCCCTCCATGGTCATCGGTTGCAGCTTTTGGGTCTGTCTCATTTTATTTCATTGTAGTTGCAGACTTAATTATTGTCAGGTATCTGTGTGTTAGTTCGTTTGCAGTAGACCTAACTGCCGCCATTTCCTTTCCGTGAGTTAGTTTTTGTCGGACGCTCGTACTCAGTGTAACAGGTGCAAGGGCTGGGTTTTGTCGCTGTGTCCAGGATGTTGCAAGGAGACTGCTGGCCAATGGACTTCTTCCAAAACCGACGCGCCCCATTGCGGCGAAATACCATGCAGTGCGTTCTGGGAACTAGTTGGCCACTCAGTTTCGGTTTCGACTGAGCAGATTCATCTCATGCTATCACGCTGCGACCGAACGCACTGCTTGCGTTTTCGATTATCTGACTTTTTTACGAATGTACAATATACTCATTCTCGAGCGATACAAAACGAAGGCCGGGGCACTTTTTTTGGTACCCGAAACACCGGATATTTGAGTGCGTATGCAAACGTAGTAAGACGTGGCTTAGTCACCTTAACGAGTGCATCTTTGAGTTCAATTTCAATAATCCCGTCTAGTACCAGTGAAGTAGAACTGAAATTTGTTCACCTGGAGCCTTTCACCTATTTTGTTTGCCAAACGTCCGCTTCTTGTTACTTCATTGGGCAAAAAGCAAGCCGCATTCTCACAGGAGTATCAAAGTTGAGCCCAGCGTTGACGCGTAAACTTTTAAGGAAACGCAATAAATTCGACCTCACTACTGCACCAAAGTTACTATGATGTCTTCCTCGTGTCATCATATATCTCCCACTCAAATTTTATGCTGATAGAAGATTACGTTTTCGCAAACGCGGAGATGGGCTAGCTACGACGGAGGCCCTAACAAGCGTCCCCTACTCCTCGCTAAGCCTTTTTGGACGGGCTTTTACTGACGCCCAAGATCTGTGCCTGAACGGTGTGTCCGAAATTATCGCGGCATACTCAGGCAGGAAGAAAGCTAACACATGACAAATATTATGGCCATTAGCAACCGTCAAATGCACTTTGAATAATTTCGTTCGTTTGGCGCACCGCATAGGGGTTCATACCCGTCCGGCGTACTTCTGGCGAATGGTGCAACATTTTTCACACAAGTGCTCGACTTTTGCTTTCTTAAAACGGTTTGTATGCGCGAATGTGCCTATACGATTGCAGGACAACTTTACGTGCATATGCGATGTTGAATATTAGTAAAATGCAAGTGGGTGGGGACTTCGCTTCGTGCAGCGCTGCGGGTCAGTACAGATAAGAGATAAGAAGTGTGTTATAATTGAGCTTTTCAATGGCACCTCCGAGTTTTACTTCGCGTACACAGGCATATTAAGAAAACAGTAATTGCAAAAAGTAATATTTCTTCTATGGACGCACGAAACGAACAAACTTCCTGATCAACAACATATAATGTAAAGGTGCAAGCTCGATGTATGCATACTTATTGGTTGCTACAGCCTGTTGATTCGTACATAAGCAAGATCCCCGAGCTTCGCAGCGTCGAGATTCCCAGCACTGGCTCGTCCAGATACCTCGAAACGCTAACAAAAATCTCAAGTACAAAAATAGAACAAGCATGTGTTAAGAGAAGCTATATACGTCTCGGGCTTGTGCTAAAGCTTCGAGGTCTGGCCATTGAGGTTAGTTTATAGACCACAAATGACGCTCTTGGGACCAGAAAACATGAGATAAGGGCCGTTTATAGTCCACGCTCTGTGTGTAATCTCTGGTCGACGTGTCGATCGAAACTGAAACCATGCCACTCTCCTCCCTGGCCAACTAGTTCCCAGAGTGCAACGCGCGCCGTGTTGCATGCAGGGCTTTATGGAAGTAGTCTATTGTGTGCATGCATCAAGAATAGTTGTGTGTCAGAAGTTCCTTTATTTCCTTGTTTTTGACTCCATACAGACCAATGTTGAAATTGTTGGTGGCTGCTTCATCCATGGAGTGCAAGGATCATACCTATTTGTTGATTAGGGAATAATTGACATGGCCGTGTCATACATATTTGTTACATGGTCACTGGAAAGTGTGAGAAAAGAGAGAAAGCCCATGGCCGTTGCACAGGGAAGCCCCCAGAAACACTGACCCCTGGTGGTGGCCTGATCCAACACTTTGCCGCACAAGCTAAAGGTTCATCTTGGTTGGTGTCCCCCGTGCCTGAGTGGGGCACCCTTGCACTGCTTAAAATGCCTGCTCAGTTCCTGGTCCATAGCCTGGTTTTTTCACTTGTTAACTGCCAATCAAGTTAGTGCCCAGTGGTAATATCATCATCTGACTAGAAATGAGTTGAGTTAAAGCGTCTGGGGCACAACTGGCCCAGGTGTTGCTTCATTGTGCCATGGTGGATTTTACCAAAGTCATGCAGTTTTCGACAACCTGGAAGATGATCTTGGTCCCCATTGTTCTACAGCTCCCATGTTTCTTTCAAAAACAGGGCTGCTTTCTTTGAGGTTGCTAGGTCTTTCCAGGTCTACCTTTGGCTCCTGGGTCTCAGTGATGAGGTCCATGCAGCAAACTCTAGGACAAACGTTGAACACGAGCTCTGTTGGAGATTGTCCTCCTGTGGTAGGTGGTGTGCGACGGTACACAAGGAGCCATCTTGGCAAGTATGCGGCCAAAGAACCACCCGAGAGTTTCTTTAGACTGTCCTTGATCGTTCTGACAGCTCTCTCGGGAAGTCTGTTTGACTGTGGATAGTTAGGTGCAGTCCTTAGGTGGCCAATTCCATTCTGAGTAATGAAGTCGGTAAACAGCATGCCGGGGAATGGTGTTCCATTATTGGACACCAAGCAAACAGGAAGTCCTAACCAGGCGACCGTGTTCCTCAGATATTCGACTGTTGCAGTGGAGTTGGCTGGCTGCAGATGCCAGTGGTTTCTTTCAATCTTGGTAACTGTTTACCACAATTAGCACCGTTTTACCTTCGATAGGTGCAGTGCAGTCCATGTAAAGTCTTGTCCATGGAGCTGTGGGTTCTGGCCAAGCTTGTGGCTCTGCTTCTGGTGGCATTAATGCAGCCTGTTGGCATATTGTTCAAGGTTGTACGGCATCAACCATTGCCTTACCTCATTGCGTTGATACCCATGCGTGTGTCATGGAATTCTTGGAAGAAGGTTAACCTCCTATGGGCCTTTTGACTCCGTGGATGTTGTGTGACGACACTGGTCCAACTGCCTCTGGAGGTGTGGCACATTCAGGATCAGTTCCTCAGTGTGGTTGCGATACACCAGGAGCCTGACACAGCAGTGTCTGCTTTGCCTTGTTAAAGCCGTCGTCTTCCTTTAATACACACCTCTATTTCACATTTTTCTGGAGCAGGTGGTTGAATGGAGCCAATAGCTGAAACATTTGAGGCAGGCAGCTTGCATGCTATAGATGATGAATCCTGAGAAATAACAAAGTGCATGGCAATTCCATGGAGCAGGAACCTTCAGGTTGGCTTTCAGCTTGTTGAGATAGGTAGGTAAGTCTATCTACCTAGTGATCGAGCTGAACGACTGACTTGCTTGCATCCAAGCTCGCAGGAAAGTCCTCAGAAGTACTGGCCCTCTGGTAGCCGGACCCATCAGTGACATTGCCTTTATCTTTCGTAATTAGGTGAAAGCTTGGTAACTTACTCGGGTGGACGAAGATCAGATTTCTGTCATTTCACATCATTCATGCTATCTGATTAATTAATTTGAAGTTTTTTTGAGTGTCCAAATTGTGAAAATATTTTGAACTTTTCCATGGTATATACTGGTAGTTTAGTGGCTGGATATTAAAACTGAATGTGTG